AAAAAGTGGTTAATTAGGTATGTAATACAGCAATAAATACTTCTATTAGTGTTTTCTGGGGCTGGGGGACAAGTATTATTGACATATAACGCATAGATAATAATGTGCATTGTATTACGATTTTGACAACTGTAATACACTTTACTACCTAAAACAAGATCTAGAACAGCACTTTCTAGTAGAACTTCTGCAATAATAGAAATGTTCTGAATCTGCACTGTCCCATTTGGTGGCCACTAGCCGCATGTGGCTACGGAGCACTTAATGTAACTACTGTGAATACAGACCTGAATTTTAAATTTCATTTAATTTTAATTAATTTACAATTAGATTTTAATTTTTAGCTAGTGGCTACCAAGTTGGACAGTGCAGAACATTTCCATCACCCTAGATAGTTCCTTCAAGCTTCTTTCCATTAAATCCCACCTCATTGCCCCAGGCATCATAGGGAAATACTAAATACAGTTTAGTTTTTGCTGTTTTGGGACTTTACATAAATGGATTCATACAGTATATACCCTTTGTACCTGGCTTCTTTTGCTGAACATAATGTTTTTGAGACGCATCCATGTGTATCATTAGTCAGTTCCTTTTAATTGTCTAATAGTATTCCATTGCATGAATGTATCACAATTTGTGCTTCCATTGTCCTACTGATAGCTATTTGGGTTGTTTCCAATTATTTGATTTTAATGCTGCAAATACTGTATTGAGATTCTGCATTAATTGAAGTGAAAAAGCTGCATGTGTATATCAAAAGATATTTTGATCTTAAGAAAAGATAGTCTACTTATGATTCTATTATCATCTTTCATTGCTGGGGTAAAAATTTAATTCCAGCTTATATATAAGGATAGACATCTCTCAGGACTGCTGAGTAAACAGTTGGTTTGTATTACTTAAAGAAAACACAATTAGAAAGATAAATCTACCAGAAAAAAAAAATAATGCAATATTTTCAAAAGCAAAATGTACTTTGGGTGGGAATGGGTAGAGTTAGGAGTGCTCCAGAGAATAGTGGCAAATTATGTAGTTTTGAATTACCTTGGCCTCTATCACCCTCTATTATTATTGATTACTATCATATAGCCACAGAACTTCAGATCTATTGATAGTAAAGGCAACTAGTAATCCAGTAGTCTAATCTCCCAGTGCTATACATATCATAAATATTCAATAAATATTGGCTGAAATGAAACAATTCATTTCCATATGAGAACTAAGACTCTAGGTGTCTCTCAGTTGAAGAAAATCAGATATTATAATCAAGTGAAAAAATTTTAAACAGGTGTGATTTCTGCTTTATAAAAGGATTCACCACAAATTCAGTGGTAAGCTGCCACAGACCAATTCATTATTTTTTTAAGAATAAATAAATTTATTTATTTATTTAGGCTGCGTTGGGTCTTCGTTGCTGCGCACGGGTTTTCTCTAGTTGAGGCAAGCAGGGGTTACTCTTTGTTGCGGTGTGCAGGCTTCTCATTGCGGTGGCCTCTCTTGTTGCGGAGCACGGGCTCTAGGCACGTGGGCTTCAGCAGTTGTGGCTCACAGGCTCTAGAGCGCAGGTTCAGTAGTTGTGGCGCACAGGCTTAGTTGCTCTGTGGCATGTGGGATCTTCCTGGACCAGGGCTTGAACCCGTGTCCCTTGCACTGGCAGGCGGATTCTTAACCACTGCGCCACCAGGGATGTCCCAATTCATTAATTTTTAAAACTCTCATACATACAATTTTTTGGAAGTAAACCTATCACATAACAGTATTTTATCTTTCTGTATGCAGCTTTTCCTTTTATAAGCATTAATGTTGAAGTAATGTATTAGTTCTTGATTATGCAGTAGATATCAATAGGAGGAAATAACCTAATAGATAATATTGAAGAGGAAATTTACCCTTGAGAATGTACTAAAGTAATTTATAAAGTATATAATCCACACATAATCAGGGCTTCCTATTTTTCAAGTGGTTCAGATACAAATGTGTTAATCGATGTCTCTGCCATTCACTCCAAGCTGAGAGCAAAAACAATCCAAGTTCAAAGGACACAGCATTTTAAATTCACAGATATTGACTGTGAGCATTTTACAGACAGGAACTATGTCTGGCCCATTTTAGATACTGGACAAATAATAACGGCATTGGCAGTTTATTGAATTCGTCAAGCAATGTAAGATATTTTTTGGTTAGGCACTTTTTGAGTCCAGTGTGTTATCACTGTAACAGGTGATAAAATGTTAGACACACTGCTGGGTCTTTTCTATGACTTAACACATAATTTATTTCTGAAATATATGTACAACACATGTGAAGATGCAACTGTAAATGACCACAGCGGAGATCCTATCAAAAATGACTATAGGCAAAGGGATTTCTGGGACCTTTCCTAACTAGTTATAACACAAAACATGCATATATAATCGTGTTTCCAAATCTGCAGCTTGAATTGGTAGCTTGGTTATTTGATTCGGTGTGAAGGTAACATTGAAAAATTCATATTATAGTAACCTCACTATGATTAGAATACTATCAATTATCCTAAAACAGGGAGAAATATTCTAAATCCTAACTTTTAAAGAACTCACTTAAAATACTTATTTATAACGAACTCAGAAAAAGGCCAAATGAGGACGGACGTAGGTTAAAAAAAAAAAATGTCTCTAAGCAGCTTCAAACCGGTGTTACAGTGTCCCCGCATAAAGGTCACACATTTTCTAAAGGAGAGTTTCTCAAAGGACTCTTGAGATACAGCTTTTCATTGTGTGGTTTTCTTGCCTGCAGATTATAAGCAGTAAATTAAAAGGGTGGGGAGGATAATAGAACTATGCTCACTAACAGCAGTAAGAAGCAACAGCTGACAGTGAGGGAAGGGATGGGCAAACTATAACAGACAATAGAACTAAAAAAGCAAAGCTATTCAGAGCTGTGTAGTGTGAGCAAACAGCCCCGCACACCATTACAGGAATAGAGGACTTTATCTGTAAATGTAATTAAGTGAATATTCATAATGACTACCAGTTTTCATACAGCTGGAATGCATACTTTATTTCCCATGTGTATGTGGAAACTATTATTCTAAATCTGAAGAGTTTTAACTGCTGTTGGTCACCACACTGTCATCTGTCTCGGACTGGAAGGGCCTACTACCATGGTGCGCCATGAAACCTTTACGTTTTAGCACTGTGCTCCACACTGTTCACTATTACATTGTAACACATTATTATAAGAACCTCTATAACTCATTATGAGATTACCAAAGGCCACATTGCTTTCTTGAATCTACTGTTTAACTAGCTGGTTCCTAAAATACCCCTCTAGTACTCCATGATACAGAGCCGTCAAATAAAACGACTGACGTTTAAGACTGTGCCTTCTCCAAAATGAGAGTATTATGTATCTAATAGTGGTGTCGTGAGGATTAAATGAGATAATGTACGTAAAACACTAAGCACAATGTCTGGGGCAGTAAAAGACCTCAGGAACGGAGGCTATTCTTATTTCAGCAAGCCCCAAACCCCTATTTTGCAGGTGCAAAAAGTAAGCCTCAAGAGGAGAACTGATTTCCTAATGCTCTAATATCCAAGTTATTGTCCCAGATAAGCAGCTTAGCTGCGTGTGTTGGTTTGGGATATTGACAGGGCCTGGGGGCATGTTCCTGCAGGACTCCAGTCTGCAGAGAACTGGACGAGTATGTTTGAACCGTGAGGCATTTGAGGCTATTCGATACCAACGGGTGTTGGAGATAGCCAGTTGTGTGCTAACAACATCCATCACCAACGTTAACCCATTCGTCTATCTCAATACACCCGGCAGGAGCAAGACCCTCAGATACAGCAGGTTGTTAGGTAACCGGGGACCAGGACGAGGCAAGTAATAGGACACGGGGGTGACCTCACATCCTGGTTTCGTCAACTTTAAATAGGGACGAGCACTTCACGCGAGGGCTGAAGATGACAGGAACTAGGAACTAACTGGGTGCTATGTCAGACAGGTGTAAGTTACCCCACCTCCCAACGCCTTTCCCGGAGGGGGGCCGCCATGCGTTTTCGAGTCCCCGGAGAGGACTCGAGCAAGATTTCTTGCTCCTTAGTAGCGCTTACTCCCCGCCCTGTAGATAGGGAGTCAGGACTTCGCCTCTTCGTTCTGGAGTGAGGGCCGAACAAGCTCGGACCTTCCCGGTGCGCGCCACGCCGCGGCGGGACCGCGGGAGGCCTGCGCACTACCCATACGCGCCCCGCGCTCGCCTGCTCTAAGATGGCGGCGAAGGCAGCACGCTCACACCCCGCCGCCCGCCCTTCTCCGAATCGCGGCCTCAGGAGGCGGGAGCGGGTCGGGACGCGGAAAGCAGGGGCGCAAAGGCGGCGCGGGCCGTCCGTTCCAGCACGTTCCCCGCCGCCATGAAGCGTCTCGACATGCTAGAAGCCCGCAGACGACTACGACCGGGAACACCGCCGGCGCCTCAGAAACGGGGCGGGTGGGGGGCGGGGGCAAGGGGAAAAGGAAAAAAGAAAAAAGAGAGCGGAGGCACATCCGGGACCCTCCACACCGCCCCGCCCCGGAAATGACGTTTCTATCGGGGGCGGAGCCACTCTTCAAAGTGGAGTCTTCCTCTGCTGTAGCTGGTCGTTTAGACAAGGTGTCTGGAATCGCCTTCGACACCCCCTCTCATGGGTTAGCTGTTACCTTCTCCCGGCTCTGAGGCTTTTGGGCACTGAGCTGGTTGCTGCGACTGGCAGCTCTCGTTTCACAGAAAGTATACCTCGCACCACGGCCCTCAATTCCTCCGCCAGCCTCGCCAGGGCGTGTAGTACCATACCTCCGAGGGGACCCTCGGGTGACCTCAGCCCCTGCCAAACTTAGCGCGTCCCTTCGGAACCCTTCCTCGGAACCCCGGCCTCGCGCCCAGCCCAACCCGGTTCGGGGGCTGTCAGTCACGGCACTGAGCCCGCCCCTTCCGGCCGGTAGCCGGGCCCGCCTCCTCCCCTCTTCCCTCCCCCACCCCTCCCCGTGTGAGTGTCTCCCTCTCCCTCTCGCTCCCTCTCTCTCTCCCTCTCTCTCTCTCTTTTGTGAGTTATAGCAACCGTTGCCTTGTGAATCAAGCGCCATAGTCACCGTAGTCCTGGCGACTGTTACCCATCAACAACAACTACTCCTCTCCTCCTCCTCCTCCTCTTCCTCCTCCTCCTCCCCACCACCACCATCTCCATCACCCACCAACAACACCACAATAATCCACAGCCAAGGTGAATATTCTTCGGTCTCTACATGTGTGTGGGAGCGTGTGGATGCGTGTGAACGCGTGTGTCCGTGCGTGTGTGTGTCCGTGTGTGCGAGCCGAGTGTGGCTGTGCGGGGGTCTCACTCCTGACACCGGGGCTGCAGCTGTGGCGCCGCTGCCGAGGGGTTCCGTCCCCCGGGCTTGTTTACAATGGACCGTGCGCGCTGCGGCTGGGTCGGGGGTGTGGGCGCCGCGCCGCCCGCCCGCCAGCCCGCTGGCCCCGGCCCTCCGCGGCCGCGCTTCAGGGATGGAGCGGGAGCTCGGGGGGCTGCGAGCCGAGCGGGAGAGGGAGCCACAGTTTTGCGTTACGGACGGTGGAGCTCTCCCTTAGGTCTGGGTCTGAGGAGGAGGGTCAGGTGAAGAGATAAGGTGTTTTTTTTTTCTTTCTTTCTTTCTTTCAATTTTCTTCTTTTTCAAAGCTGCTTGGTTCCTGTTTCTTTCAAAACCGAAATAGACAAGAGTGTGCAAGGGGGGACCCACGAGGTGGTGTTTTGTTGTTGTTGTTCACTTGTGGGGCCTTGTTATGGGTTTTGTTATTTTTATCCTCGTACATCGGTGAACTTTTCCCACTGCCTCTTGCCTTCATTTTTGCCCCTTTTTGCCTTGTGCTTAATGAGCTGCTCTTCTTTTACCATCATCAGCTGCATGGGTTTCTTTTTTCTCTTTTAAAACTGTGTTTTCTTTGTGCTGCAAACAATCTTAATATCCATTCGGCACTCTTCCCTCCCCCTCTTTCTTCTCCCCCCACACCCCTTGCACACACACTGAAACCAGGGGCCTCTTTGCTGGGTTCTTTGCTGCATTGGGAAACAGATCTTTTTTTAAAAAGTCCCTCTCCTCTCTCTTTTTCGGGGTGTGTGTGTGTGTGTGTGTGTGTGTGTGTGTGTGTGTGTGTGTGATTTAAACCGGATGCAGGGCATCTGTGCTACTTGGGTTAGTAGTTATTGACAGTGCTTTATCCTTCATGTGGAGATGGGAGGGGTACGAGTGAGGTTCCATTTCACTTTGATGAACCTCCTTCCCCACAGTGGAGTGTTAACAATTTTCATTGTGGTTATGAGACTGTGTGTGACAGACAGGGAAAGGACGTAAGGAAGCTTTGTGAGAACTCAGTTTACAGTGTTATTTGTGACAGTTATGGTACTTTAAAGAGTTTTATTTTTAAATCTTCTCTTCGTTTTCCTTTGAGAGTTGAAATTGAAGTCAAGTTGTTCATAAAGAATGTATGAAGCTTCTCAACTTGAAACGTGTGTATATTTCACTTTCTTTGTGGTTGTTAAGATCTAGGCATATGTGTTCTTAACATAGTCTTTTAAATTTATTTTTTGGTTTTCTTTGGACAGTGACTTAAACCTGCTGAAGAGAGAGAACTCTTTCCTTTTTAGGTCTTTGCTTCAAAACTGTATTTTTCTCTGTAGATTTGAATACTTATCAGTCCTCAAGTTATAGGCTCTTAGAGGTAACCCAGTTTTACAGATCCTGTAAATTTGTTCATTTTTCAGTGTAATGTTTAATTAATTTTCAGTAAAGAGTTTTGATAATGAATGTGTGCTAAAACAAATATAGTGTACTGTAATATTCGCACAAATTGAAGTTTCCAATTTGGAATTTTTAAATGCTTATTTAAATAGTCTTATTTCTAACAGCAAACATATTGATTTACCTGACAGAGCAGCCTGTGAATAATATGACAGTATTAATTATTCTTCAGAATGTCAGTGAGCAGGTTGGGTAATTGTAAAGCTATTAAGGCTAGTATTTTGTAAAATAAGAGTTAGGTTTAAAAAAAAATCTTTTCTTTTTTAAAATCCATTTCCTTGTGATTGCTATTTTAAATGAGGGTGATGTTTGTTCTGAAAGAAGTCTTTCTCAGAGCACTCAAATTTCTTTATATTTGCCCTCCCGCCTCCCCAACCTGGGTTTCTTGCAAATCTCTAATACTAACCTGTATTTTTTTTTCTGTTCAGATGAGTGTCAAATGCCTGAACACTTTTGGATGGTGAAGTTCCTGGGTCCTATAAACTCTCTGAAGTTAATAGGAGTTTTGCTGTCTTGAGACAGTTTCAGACCTTATGCCATTTACATAATGCATTTTCAGTCGAGTAGATTATATGCTATAATTTTATGGTTTAATATTTTTACTTGCAGTGTCCAAGAATTTTTTTCAGGCATTTCACTCATTACGACTATCTCAGGTTTTCTATAATTCAGATTTTCATTCACAAGATGATTTGAGAGCAGAACTTAAATTGAATTCTATTACCTATTCATTTTTAAAAGCACTTATGTGATATAAAAATTGCTGCTAGACATGCTTTGGAGTCAAGTGTGTCAACATTATTCATACGGATTAAGTAAATAATAGCCAGAAATACTAACAAATGATAAATTAAAAAATTTAACACACTGATAAATGCTTAGTAACATTTTTTTTCTGAGATATTTTTCCTAGGAGGGACTATATTATGTATTTGTATTCTCTTGTGTTTGTTTTAGACTAAAAAACGAACTCAGAAAAGTGTCCAAACTTTAAAACTAAAATTATGAAATAGGAGTTACTTGTAACTTGTTTTGAATAGCTGAATATCTGTGATTCACTGTATGTTATAATGCCTATCTCAGTCTTTCTATATTATTGTGCCTATGAATTGCATTAAATGGTATATAGGCATGTTTATGTAGTACATTTAAATGTATAACAGTAAACTAAAATGCATTTCTAAAATGTGCCATTCCACAATGTTTTCATTATATGGGGTAGTTATGCCTAATTAAAAAAATAGTATATTACTCCTCCAGTATTCAGATAGTCTCGTACTCTACTTAGGTACTCAAATAAAAGGTTTATAGTTTATAAGTACTGAAATAAAAAATTTATAGTTTATAAATTTAATATACTTTGATGCTAAACAAAACAATTTTTAAATCAGAAACAAATTTAATAGTAAAAAAATTACCATTAAAAATTAGCAATTAAAAATGAATTGTAAAATCAAGATAGATTTAATCTATTATTTAAAGGATGATTTGTGTTACTTTTTGGTAACATGTTTCCTTTTTCTTGAGAAAGTTGATGTTTTATGTGCTTTCCTCTAAACTGTCAACTGAAAAAATCAGTAGGTGGAGTATGATCTTTGTGTCTCAGATTTTATAGTATGTGTGTGTGTGTGTGTGTGTGTGTGTGTGTGTGTTTAAAAGAGAAGATATAGCATCAGATATGTAGGAAGAGTTAAAAAAAATTTTTTTTCTGAACAGTGTAGTAGGAATGTTACTTTGTTTTTTTTTTTTGTATTTCTAGTGAGCCTGTGTTACAAGAAATGAAAATACCGAACAAGGAGGCTTTCAAATTACAAAAGAGTCTTGGAAGACATAAACCTTTAAATTATGAAAAGTCTGCTTTTTTTTTTTTTGCCTGCTTTGTTTTTAATGCTGAGCATTAGGCTAAAAATCCTCTACTTCTAGTTACTTTAAAAATAAGCGCTTAGTTTCCCTAATGGAATCCTGTGCTTTTAAATCTTTGGTATGGCTTCCCAGTGGCTGTTGCAAAACAGATTTTAAATTCCTCTCTCTGTTCACAGGTGCATAGTGTTCCCATATTTTGGAAATCCAAGATTAAGCGGATTTAACTAAATCTAGCTTTGTTAGGGACAGATGGCTGCTTTAAACAGGTGTCACTTTCATTTCTAGTGCATTGTGTTGGGACTTCCACCGGTTCACAAAAGGGCTGTCTAAAGCAGGTGGCATCCTTTGCTTTTGTCCTTAGTAAAATATACTTTTGGAGTTAATTATTTTCCTAGGAAGAGTTTGTTTGTTTGTTTGTTTTTTAAAGTAAAGGTTTCGAGCTATTCAAATTGATTCCTAATTTAATTAGCGTAACTTTTATTTTTGAATATCATTCTAGTTTTGAGCTGTGTAAGTTGCAGATCCTTTCAGAAAACACTTCAAATTCTTTAAAGCAATGATAAATTCCCATTGAATCCAGCAAAGTACTCAGGAGCACTTTACACAATTAGTCAATTTATCTGAAGCAAAAAGCCAAGGCAAATTTGAATAAAGTGAAATTTGGTTAACGTGACAAGTTAACTTTTGCCATCCCATACTTGAATTTTTGGGGGGGCAGCATTATTTTAATTTAAATGATAAATGTTGAGAACCAGTGTTGTTTTTGTTGGTTATTTTAAATATTTTCAAATGAAAACATTTTCCTTATCTACTTCAATTGTTACTATAAAGTTTTTAGTGCTGTTTTTAAGTGAAAATTGTTTTCAAGCATTAGTGTTTAAAAATATGTACTGGAGTAAATAAAAGAGTAACAAACTATTGATTTCTAAGGTTCACTTTTACTCGGATTCTATCCTTTTTTGGTGGAAATTTTATACATCTTACAACAGATGCACCAGAGGGTGCTGTGCTGTTTGCAACAAGAGATTATTATCACTAAGAATGTGAACTGATTAGAACTTTTATTTAAAGAAAAAAAATTTAATTACTTATGCATTCAAGCATATAATAGCCTTATTTCTATGGAGTTTCAATTTAATATACTGTCTTAATTGGCAGCTTTTCATCAAAGCCTATCTTTCTGTGTACTAATATATGTTAGCACAGCATAAAACAATATCAAGATTGATATCTTTGGCATAATCTGAATGTCAGCATTCGTCCTGTAGGCATATACATTTATCATCTTCTTATGCAGGTATTTTAATCTGTATCTAAAATATTTAGTTTAACTTGAAAATCATACTGTTTTGGCAGTATGGCTTTGTACTCCATAAATTTGGCATTGTTGCACATATCAGTATATTGTATATCCTTACAGCATTTATATATGGCATATTTAGTGGTATGCTTTTTATGGTATAATCTAAAACTCTCTCAAAAGTATAAATGGTAATAATAGTTATCAGGCTAATTAAGTCAACAACAATAATAACAGAAATTGGAGAATTTGGTCCCCACTTCA